CACCTGTCGAGAATCGGTCATCCAGGGTCAGTAACCCCTGGAGGGTCACTCACCCGGAGTTCATCACCCTCGCAGGGCCCGTAACCCTGAGGAGAGTCGCTCACTCACCCATCAGTCACCCGCGGTCCGTCACCTACAGAGCGTTGTCACCCGGGGGTGGTCACCCGTGGAGGGCCGGTCAGTCACCCGGGCCCGGGGCGATCTCCTGAGGCGATCTCCTGCCTTGGCAGAGGAGGGCACGGTCGGATGGGCGGGCAGAGAGAGCCCGAGGCTGCCGAGGTAGCAGCAAACACAGGTCCCTGCTGAGGGGTGGGTGCGAAGAGCTCTCGGGTGTGGGAGGGACGGGATGTTGGTGGAAAGCTCGGAGTGGCCCCGGAGTACACGGAGTACACGGGATGGACCCTTGTGATGTGTTTCTTTAGACCCCCGCGCAGCACCTATCGGGCAGTTTACCTTTTGAAAGATCACAGAATCACGGGATGGGCAAGGTTGGAGGATATCACCAGCAGCTTATCTGGTCCAGCCTCCCTGCTCAAGAAGGGTCACCTGAGTGGCACAGCACTGTGTGCTGACAGTTCTGGAGTATCTCCAGGGAGGGAGACACCATAACCTCTCCAGGTATCCTGTCACTAGTCTGACGTGGATGAAATCTTCCCTGTCAGCCCATTTGTCCATGTGCTCGGTAAGCTTTGCCACAAGTGACCACAATGTTTCTTCCTCTCAAGCTGGGCTCTGTCATGGCAGCGATGCTTTGGTGGCCACCTCCCAACCATGAGGGTGGGCTCTATGCCACAACCAGTAGTTCCAGAGTTTGGTAGCTGAGGTCTCTCATCAATTGTACCTCAGTGTTGTCTAATTTAGATGACTTTCTTCACTTAAAGGGGAAATGTTTGTATAGCCTATATTTCTCTTTCCTATTAAGGCTTGTATTTCCAGTGAAGTTACCTCAAGGTGATATAAATCCCATCCTCTTGAGTGGGAGGCACATCTGGTGTCATGAATCCCCAGCATCTCCAAATACAGCCAGGGGCAGACAAGTTTCTGAGCTTTCCCATTAGCTCTGCCATCCTTGACCACCCCTCCTACTCCCTGCCCCAGTTAAGACTATTGTTTTTAACCCATCTCATGAGTTTTGTTGCTACTTTCTTTCTTTTGATGTTTATAAAGACCTTTTTACTACCAGTATGAGCATCCTTTGCAAGCTGTTCTTCAAATTCTTTTCTAGTCCTCATTCCCTGCCATGATGTGATCTGCAGGGTTTTACAGCTTTCTGCTCTCTTTATTTTGGTCTTGACGAGTTCTGCCCTGTCATTATCAAAGGAATTGCTTTGGGCAGAGATCATACTAGAACCTGTCACAAGTCACGGTCAAACCACAAATGTTCATGAATGTTAAACACATTTAGGAAAGCTGGTACGTACTGATAATAGCTGTGTCTGTGCATTTTAAATTTTGATACTGTTTTTTCTGCTTAATTTAGCAATGAAATTGTCCTTGGGTTAAAATATGATTTTTAATTGCAATTTCTGTCATTGCTGTGTCATGATTACCCCTGTTTCAAATGTCATAAAATTGTATCCTACAAACCATGATCATGAATAGCTAAATACAAGCTGATACTAATTTGACCAATATTATGAAAATTGGCACAGTTAAATATATGGAAGAAATGCTTTACTATGAGGGTGTTGAGGTACTGGCACATGTTGCCCTGAGAAGCTGTGGCTCTCACAACCTGGAAGTGTTCTTCCTGCACAGGGTCCAGACTGGATGGGCCTTTGAGCCACCTGGTCTAATGGGAGATGTGCCATGACAGGGGGTTTGGGACTGGATGGTCTTTATAAGGTCCCTCCCAAACCATTCAATGATCCTGTGATTCAGCTGCTCCAAATGGTATTTTTTATAGAGTCATATAATGTATCACACTGTTATGGCTTTTTGAAAGACAATTGTTCTCAGCAATATTTTTGTAAATTCACCTTTTGTAAAGTCACCTTTAGTTTTGCTAGCATATTGCCTAAAAGTTGAAGGATGAGAATTGTAATAATTTTATATTCTAAGGAGTTTGGATTAAATAAAAAAATGTTCAGCTGTGTGACAGTCTAAATAAAGACAATTTTAAATGTCTCTGTGGTACACACAGTAACCTTCCACTTCATGAAAAGAGAGAAACCATCAATTTTTCTTGAATCCAATTTAAGAGAATGTCTTCAAACAGATTTCCTCCTGACCAACATAGCAGCCCTCTACCAGTGTATCAGTGGACAAGGAAGAGCTATGGATGTAACCTCACTGGGCTTCTGTAAAACTCTTGGTACAGTCCCCCACAACATTCTTATGTCTTAATTGGAGGGATTTGGTCTTGGTAGATGACCTGTAGGCTAGAGAAGGAAGTGCCTGGGTAGCCACATCTAAAGAGTTACAGTGAATAGTTAAGTGTCCAAGTGGAAACCAGGAATGAGGGGTGGTCCTCAAGGGACTGATCGTATTTAATGGCTTTATCAATGACAGAGACAGTGGGAGTGAGTATGCTCTCAGCAAGTGGACAGATGACACCAAGCTGAGTGATGAAGCTGATATGCTTGAGAGCAGGGATGTCACCTGGGGAGACCTTGACAGGCTTGAGGAGCAGTCCCATGTGAATCTCCTAAAGTTGAACAAGACCATGTGCAAGGTCCTGCACCTGGGCTGGGGAAATCACCACTATTAACACAGGCAGGGGGATGAATGGACTGAGAACAGAGAGAAGGAACTTGGGTGGTGGATGAAAAATTGGACATAAGCCAGCCATGGGCACTGGAAACCCAGAGAGTCAAGTGTGCATCCAAGGCTGAATTCAAAGCTCTGTGGGCAGCAGGGGAGGGAGAGGATTTTGCCCCTCTGCCCTGCTCTGGTGAGACTCCACTCTGGGCTCCCAACACAGGAAGGACGTGGAGTGTGTCCAGAGAAGGGCCCTGGAGTTGGTCAGAGAGCTGGAGCACCTCTCCTGTGATGAAAGGCTGAGGGAGCTGAGGTTTTTCAGCCTGCAGAGACCTTGTCTGAACAGCTGTAGGAAAATGAAATTACAGCAGCAGTCATTTACAATTTGCAATCCCTTGGTTCCTTGAGGTAATAAAGTGAACATATGCATTTGAGTATGAGCTGCATCTTTGTGCTGAAGTGCAGCACAGGACTGTTGCCCCAGGTAAAAAATAGGGAACGTACCTGCCCCAGCAGTGTAAACCAGCTCACTGGTATGCTGAGAGCACTTCAAGCAGCTGCTGCAGAGGTTTTGCAGCTATAGATCCTCCCTGGCCCCTCTGGCTGAGCAGCTGTAGTTAGTGGAGAAAGAAATTTTGGTTACTACATAATCTGTCTTCATCAAAGGGGAGAGTTTATATAGCACTTTCAAGCTAACATGCCTCAAAGGGGAAAAAGACATACAAGAGAGGTAGAAAAACAATAACTAGTTAGGATTCTCAAGGGACCTGGCTGTAACTGCTCTAAATTGTGGCATAAGGAAACTTAAGCCATTAGAGATCAGTAGGAATTTTCCATAGCTATTTGCCCTCAGAAAAAAATATAGATATATAGATATATAGATATAAAATCTCTCTTCTATGTATAGGAGTAACTTACTGCTATGACCTAGCTATGACCTTTCCTTCCTCTCTTACTGTGCCTTCTGCTGCTGAGTACCTATTCCAGAAGTAAACACAGGGTTTGCCTGTGTGCCAGATGGGGAATTCACTGAATAAAGGTGAATGGTATACTGTGGGAGCATAAAAGTTGTGGATGAGAATGTGTTTGTCAAAACAGTCTTTGAAACAAACTGCTTTCTCGTCTTTTCAGCTTGCTGGCTAGTCACTCAGCTGGGGATTATTACCACTTGTTGTTTAGTTTTTAAAACAATGTTCAGATGATGATCATATTAATATTCCATTTCACTTAAATGTTTGATACATATACATAAGTCAGTTTCTGCCCTCAATCAGTAAACATAAGAACAGACAGAAGAATAAGCCCAGAACCTAGTGAACAGTATAAAGTGACAACTGCTCTAATTCAGTAATTTGACAGTTGAATAAGATGATTATACTGAAGATTCACTCTGAAAAATTATAGTGTGTTCTAAGGGGAATTTGCCCACCAAGTCAAGTTTTCTAGCTATTGGCCCATATATAGGTATTTGTTGTAAGATGGATTTTTCAGCACTTTCCAGAAATGCTTTCATTGGGCACTTCTATGGCTCACTGTGAAAAACTTTTCTGTAGGACTACATCTTAAATAAAGTAATGAAAAATGGTGATGTCGTTAACTATAATACTGGGTAGAATAATATTTTCCTCACTCTGGAGAGCATAATTACTGGAGGAAATAATTTCTCACAACTGGCAGTTTGCTGTGTTGTGTATTTAAACAACATTTTGTAGAAACCATTTCGGCAACATTTATCTTTCAGTACAAAAGCCAGTCTGGAGAACCCCAAGTAAGTAGAAGTGTGGACAGAAAAGTTTAGATAGTAGTTTTACAGATGTTTGTTACAGAGGGACTAGCCTTCTTTATTTATGGATTACTAATCACAAAGAAAATGCACCCTTAAGAAGAATGACTTCCCTTTTTTGTGTTTGGTTTCAGCAATTAATATTTTAATATTAAAAGGTCACTCAATGTTCTTAGTTTTGTGCTACACAACAAACAGTAAGTTGTTTACTGGAGATAATTTCAATCAAGAGAAAGAAATATGAAAGCATGAACCCACAACACCTTATGTCTTGTGTTCTAACATATAACAGAGGAAAAACTAAGAAATCGTTTTCAGTCTAAACTTGGACATTCTGTAATCCCAGAATCCTAAAGATACAGTTAGAACTGTAAAGCTTGTTATTTAAAAAAAAAAATAAAAAAAAATGTAATTAAATATCAACGCATTAGCAAATTAGATCAGAGAACCTGAAGCAATGAAGCATGTGGTGGTGGGTAGTCTGGTTTATGTTAAGGTTCACATTTCTAAAAAAAAACAAAGGGAAAAAGAAAAACACTAATGTCAGAAAAAAAATCCCAGCTTGGGATAACAGGATCAAAAGCCACATTATTTTTAGTTAATCTTATCCTGTCAATATAAAGGAAAGGAATAGTTGAATGGAATATGTGTCAAGTTTCCCATGCTGGAACTGAAACGGGAAAGAAAATGAGATATGAGGGTCTTGAATATTCATGAAAAATGACTTTGAGTTTAGTCCAGAGAATGAGTCATTTTGAGTAATGGTTAAGTCCTGACATCAGAAGACGTCTGAACTTGCACCCTGAATTTTCAGCTTTCTAAAAGAAGGGTGTTTTTTCCACAAAAGACAGATGTTTGCATCCTTAAACAACATTGTTGCTTCCCTTGGGAGATAGGAAGGATAAAGACATCCTAAAGCTGAAGATCAGTTGTGCTGTGCTTACTCAAGTCTGTTAAGCCTAGAAGATTTTTAAATAATTCTTGCTTTACAACTAGAGACGTCATTAGGCAAAGAGAGTAAAATGTTTTCTCCTGGGTTACTCAAAAGTACTGCAAAGGGTAAAGAAGCTGCTAGCTAACAGATGGGCAAGGGAAGCTCTTGAGAAAAGGTTGAGATAAAAGTCTGCTATAGCTACCAAAGGTCAGGACACAAGTGACAGAATCTTTGGAGAAATTAGAATTCAGTCATTGCATCTAAAACATTGCCCATGATAAATAGAAGAATTATATGTGGTGACCCAAGCTCCTCTGATAAGAGCAGACAGGCAGCTATCTGCATGATAATGTTCCAGCACAGAGCAAACAGTAATAGTAAACATTTCACAGTGAAGACACTAAAACTGAACTTATAAAAGTGCATGATTTTTTCTCAGTTGGTCATTTCCAAAAGTGGAAAAAAATATAGCTGTGTTAAAATCTGTCTCTCTTCTGTGTAGAGTGTTAACTTACTGCTACAAACAGCAAGAATAATATGGAGTTTATATGAGCTCTAAACCCAATTGAATTAGCAATGTTACTGCACAAATTTTTGATGTATTCTACCAAGAGAAGCAAATCTCTGTTCTCTTCCTCAAATTTTTCTCATGATCAGAAATTACTTCTTTACTAGAGAAGCAGCTATGCCAATGGGTGGGCTTGGCAGACTTTTCCTCTCCATTGGTTTTTATGTAGAACAAATGAACTAACATTGCTGATACCTGTACCTGCAATTTTCTTGGAGGAATAATTAAAAATTTGAGGTGGGGAATGGAGCAGTACATTTCAGCGTTCCCCAGAATATGACATTTTATATGGAAGTCTTCATACTTTGTTTCAGTATGCTTATTCTCCAATACATACTAAAAGAAATATTTCCATATTAAACCTTAATTTCTGTGAAATTTGAGTAAATATGGCATATAATACAGAGTGCTGTTAGGACATAGTTTTGTACACCCTGTGTAAGATTAATTTCAGCCATCGGAAGCTGTGTTGAACATATCACAAGGGGCAATTATTCTAACTTATTTTAGACATTTAAGAAAAATTGCCAGCTAGAGTTACATGATTCTGTCTGCTGATTATAAGTACAGTCTAGAGGGACCAATTTAGACTCACAGTTTATGTTTAATTCATGTTCTTAAATGAAAACACAATAATCTTGTATTATATATCACTACATTCTAAAATATTATGCAATCCAGTGAATTAATGCAATTAATACACTTTTAGAAACTATGTTAGAATCAATATGTGTAGATAATTTTCTCTAAAAGGCATATTTTGAAATTTGAAATGTTTGCATTTCTGATTGTTCCTGTCATTGGTCTTTTCTTCAGTAAAACACCCTTTGTCTGAGATATTACTACTTTTTCCCTGGGAAAAAACCCAAACCAACCAAGAGGCCTAATTTATTAGATCTGGGTCAGATATAATTCAATTTAAACTAACACATCAGTATCAGTGACATCAAATAGCTACACTCATGACCATCTTTACATTCTTTCTTTCTGAAATTCTGCATCATAGTTCACTGAATAGCAACAGTATTTGCATTCCTTATGTAAAGTTCAAGATAAGCACAGTTTCTCTGTTCACACAGTATTCTGGGCAAATCTTTTCAGGCTGTCTAAATCAAAAACTCATGATTATAACTCCATCACTGATACAAGTGGCAAGTTTTGAGAAAAAAGATTTAGAATCAAATTGTTTCCTTGAAAGCTTGATTTTATGTAGTGTCTAAGCTTCCTTCATTTACATGATTCATTTACTGAAGTTAATATAAAAAAATTGATATTATTTATAGTGACATTTACAATGGAGGAGTATATGTGGAAGCAGAATCTATATAATTAGAATTGATTTCATTGTTAAGAAATGCTAGGACTTTCGGAAAAATTCAGGGAAAAAATATTTGGTTTTAGATTAGCCCATGCACCAAAAATATTGCCAGCACCTTTGTGACAAACCATGTTTTAATAACAGTTTTTGTGCAGTAGAAGTCAGCTGAATTAATCAATTTTCTGAGAAAAAATAAGAAAGTTAGAGTCAGACTTTAGATATCACTATTGCTGAATTCATCATTGTGGGAAAGATCACACAAAAGGTCACATCTGAAAGCACTTAAAAATTTCTAGCATGCTACTAAAGCTACATGTGATGGTCTTATTATAGAAGCAAAATAGATATTTTTCTACTCCAAAACCTCAAGCTCAAGTAAGATATCTACTGGCCTGCTTTCACGTGTTTGATGTTTTTGTAAAAGACAGATTGCAGAAGGTTTAGTAGTGATTTGATAATAAATACTTCTAAATAGCTACTCAGTTACTTGAGAGGGAAATCTGTTCTGACATGCCTATCAGTCTAGACCATGAAATGGCGACAGTGTTTCCACATTCACAGGTGTAGATTTTTTGAGGCACTGGTTGGTCACAAATAGTGCTGATCAACTTGTAAATTCCAGCTGACACCAGGACAGCTGACAGAAGCTCTCAAGCAGAATGGAAGTCACAATTAAAAATCAGTTCTGAAATGGATGAAAACTGCAGTGGGGTGCTGCAAAGGTATTGGAGAGAGATGTCTATTTCTTCAGAAATATATCTATCAGAATGCTGTCATGTGCAATCATTTCAGGATCAGCGTGTACAATTTCATGAAGTGGTAGACCTCTTATGCAGAACCTACAGACAACCTTATTAAAGATTACTTGCAAAGAAAAGCACTTAAAACATCAAGAAATCTGAAGGTTTCCTGTGCAATATTAATTAATTTGATCTGCACATTTGTTTAATTCCCCAATGCTATGAATCAGTGCTTTTTCATAAAATCATATCTTCTCTGCAGGGACCAAGAATTAGTCAGTGAACCACTAAATGTACTAAAAATATGAGAACATGATGTGTCTTAGTTTTGCTCTCTGTGCATTGATTCTGAATGGGTATATTGTGAATTTTGTTTGAATCCACTTAATTAATGTGTCCAGAGAGATAGTAAAGCGTTCTTTAGTAATCCTTTCTGATACGAAATGCCCTGTCAGGCATATTTTTTCCCAGGATGAGCTGTCCTAGTTTAGATAGTCAGTCCCAATACAGAAGGTGCATCATGTCTTTCACACTCTCTGAGTTCCTCTTTGAGTTTTACTCTTGGCCTTTTGAGACAGAGGCACTGCCACTGTGCCTAATCTTACAAAAATCAGGGTATATTATTTGAAAATTGAAGTGGACTGTATCAGCAGGACCTGTCTAAAGCACATGATTTCTAACTCCTTCAAAGTAGGCCACTGGATTTGTGTGTTAAGTCATAAAATACCCATATAGATTTTTTCCCAGTCAAGATAATTTATCCACACTCCCATTAATTTTATTCTTTTGGATGGTTTCCACCAACTTGCCCTGTGAAGAACTCAGGTTTACTGCTCTGTGGTTCCTCTTCTGCAGCTCTTTTGGAAGCCTTTTAAAATCAGTGTCATATTGACATTTTGTGGTTGAACAAAGAGAAAAAAAATTAGAAAAGTCTTTGAAACCTAAGGAAGTAATGGAGCTAAATATTGCAGAACCTAATAGTCCACACAGAACTGTATGCTAGTGAATCTCTGTTAAACAATATTGTCAAAGTTACACTTCTGCATACTTATTTGGTAGTGCAATAGGATAGAATTAGTAAATGCATACTTCAAGTCCATTTAAAAAACTAGAATGTGATAGTGTTAAACCGCTGAATTTAAATAGTCGTAACTTTGAGAGTGCTCAGACTACTTTGATAAACATAATTTAATGTTTACATCAGTTCAATTTTCTAAATAATCATAATCTTAGATTTCTATTCCTGGTCAGTTTCAGTTATCTGAGTAATTTTTTATCCAATGTATCTTTCTGAAGTTTTTTTAAAGTTAAACAAAAACATCTTCTGACTATGATGAAGCATGTATATTTGGAGGTGCGGAAGAAAACATAAATTTTTAAGCAAGTACAAGAAAGAGGGAGAACTCAGTAATCTAGCTATAATACTGGGATTGTTATTTACAAGTGAAGGAAAAATTATATTTAGCCTCTATGATTATAGCTTAAAAGTCCTAAGAGAAATAGCTCCAAAACATTAATACATATGCCAATACCTCTGTGTGTTCAGGTTGCCCAAAAAGTTCAAACTACAGGACAAACAGTGTCCCTTAAGTGAAGATTTTGAATACGAGAAACCAGATAGGAACAAAGACACTGTTCAAAGAGAGGTAAGCTAAGCAAGAGAATTGGCTTCTTCTACCTGAGTGGCTGATTATTATCATACTTGACAGTTTCTAGGTGGTAACAGCATTATAAAACCAGCACAGGAGCTAAAGTCAAAGTTGTCAGAAGCTTTACTGTATATTGGGACCTTGGCAGAAGCAAAATACAAGTTGGTTGACTTGATTTTTGTTATTGACATAAATGCATAACAGGAAGATTCCAGTCTAAGTAAAATTTACATAATTAGCAATTGGAGGAAAAATCAAATAAGGGATGCAGCACCATGTACTTATTAATTTATTTTTAGAATCTGAGTTTAATTACCTCTGGCACTGTCACAGCTGCTACATGATTCTTAAATACTTTAATTGAGCAGTTTGCATCCTAATAGAGAGACTGTCTCCTGTACACATTCTGTCCACATTCCAAGGCAATTTCATGAAGTAAACTAACTGGCTGGGCTATGAATACTTCATTAAAAAAAAAAAGAAAAGGGCACAGTTCACTTCTTACACAGTTCATTAGATGGACATTATAAAGAAGGGCAGAATAGTGCAGAAATCCAATTTTACTCTTCTTCATACCTGATATTCTATAGCTATTATGGGTTATTTAAATAAATAACCAGAATAGATTATCCATTACATATTTGAAGTGTGGGTAAGTAACTGTGCCCTCAACTCTGCCATAAGCCAAACCTCATCTGGTAACTTCATTTAATAGCTATTAGGAAATTGGCATCTAGCAATTAGGGAACTCATAATGTTTTATACATTCAAAATCCCCCATATTTATATGATTTATGATTTAGATATTCAATCAAGACTAATATGATTATGTTAGACATTCTGCCAGTTTCTGAAATGAATCCATTATTGTATATTATTCAAAATATCTCATAACACACGACTTCATCAAAAAGCAGCCTAAATTCCTGTGTGTTCTTAAGAAAGAATATTAAATGAAAGAAATTAAATACAAATGAGAGACATTAACAGATAATGATACATAATTAGAAGTAGGCTTGAAAGAAGACCTTATTTTGAGACCTTGAAAACATATGACTGCAAGATTACTTTTTACAAATCAAGTTGATTCATATGTAACTGTTCAATAGCTACAGCTTTATGTATTCATGATACTAAAGAATAAATATTTACACCATTTACTTTGACTAAAAGTTATGTGGTTTTAAATTAGCTCGTGCATATCAAGACCTATAAATTGCTGCTATCTCCACTGTTTTCTTTTCTCCTTTAAGTTATTCCCCGATGTCTTTCTGATTTTCTCTGCTCTCCATGTTTACAGAAATCTGTTCTGCTTGGCTGCTGTGATAGGTCAGGAAGGAGAGAGACAAGAAAGAGAACAAAAATGCTTTAGCTCAACCATCAAATATGTGGGATTGAAAGAAATTCAGGCCTCACTTATGGAAACATTTGATCTTTTACTTAAATGTATGTCATAGGAGGAATAGTGCTGTGAAAGATTATGGGTTTATGCAAGCATTTCCATGATCACAGCCTATGGATTATGGATTAGAAATTTGCATGGTAGAGTCAATAGAACTAATTTATTTAATTCTTCTGAGGTCTAATCTTGAAACTATTGCTGAAGATGGAAAATATGTATACACTTTCCTATAAAAACATGAATTAAAAAAGTTCAAACACAGAGGATAAACTTCACAAGCATACCTGTCTCTTCATATCATGTACCTGCCTGTTCTGTACTGGGGGTGGACAATTAGAGTTGAAGTGAGGGAGAGACGGTGCAGGGCTTTTTTTGGATCAGTAAAAAAGGCTTTGACAACAAATGGCTTAATGAGATAACTGTTAATTAAACAAAGTAAGAAGAGTAACATAGGTAGGAATGATATCTGATGTTCCATGAGTGGCTGGGGCACCCTGAGTTTGTGCACTATGAGATGTAACCTGAATGGATTTTTCCATGGCACACTGTGCAGACCAGATCCCATCTGTGGAGAGAAGCTCTCACTTTCAGTACTGTGAGATATTCAATTGTTTCATATTATAAATAAAACCAGCCAAATTTTATCAATAAGGATATTATTGAAAAATTTGTAAAATCGAATTTTGGAAACAACCACAATCATGGTCAGCATCGAGCCCTGGATCAGAGCTGGGTGAACTCTGAATCAGCCTCTGTCGCACTGATTCCCTCAAGTTCACAAACTGTCTTTTGGATAGCTGAATTTTATATAGTTTTTCAGCTTGAGGCTATGCAGTTTCAGTTTCTTTCTTTTTCTTGTGTTGTTACACATTCGTATTTCTTCTGTTGGTTTGTTAATGAAATTTTCGAGAAAGGAGGGAGAGTCTGAGTAGATTTACAGGAACTGGATATTGAGTTGCATGGTCCTGGAGAATCAGATCAGGTTGGTGTCAGGCATTAATCACCGGGTCTTTGGTAGGCTCCTCTTGCTTGGGTGGACTCACCTCTTCTCAGTGTTATCTTAATTGCTGGGTTGTTCTCTTGCAAATTCCTGGTTTTCCAGCATCTGCTTTTGCAATCTCAAGTTGTTTGTGTTTCATACACAAAATGTGCTTTTATACTTGATATTATATATGTGTACAATAAAATGTGAATTATACCAGCATATATTACACAGGTTTCTCTGTTTCCAGGCATAAAAACTTACACCTTGGAAAACAATCCCTTGGTTGCAACTCTCCACTGCTTACATGGTAGCATTGTACCTTGATTTCTGGAAGTAAATATACCTTAATTTAGTAAGTATTTAGTAATTAGTAATTTATAAGTATTTCAGCAATAAACACATTAGAAATGTTTTGTTGCATGTTTAAAATAGAAACCACAAATCCTTAAAGGAAGTTTCACAGTTTTGTCACAGTGCAGCTGTCCTGGACCGGACAAAGTAAATATGGCCATAAAAGAAATCCAATTCAGCTAGCCTAGTTCATGCCTGAAAATGTCCCTGGATAAATTAGAGGTCAGCCAGCCCCATCCAAGCTGAAGAGTAAGCACATCACTGGGCAGGAAGCTGGGCAAGGAGAGAGATCTCAGCCAATGGCTGTACAGCCCGGGAGATTTGAATTGGGTATTTAAATGAGTTCTTAATAGTAAACGAGGCTGTTTGTCTCATGAGCACCTGAAGCATGAGTTATGGATTTTTGTCTCCCTGCCCACGACTGACATGTTACAAGGAAGGAAATGTTAATGTCAGTTAAAATAATAATAGAGAATCAAGCTAAAATATAAAAACAAAAGTCTGTTTTTCACATATGAGTAGTTTCAATTTGCGACTCTCTGTCTAAAATAATGTCTAAAACATCTAAAAATATTTTGCAATTAATTGTTTTGTTTTGCCTTAAAATTGGCAAAACATATGGGATTATGAGTATAATATTCTTATTTCTTTCCTGGTATTTTAAATTTTTTAAATTTTTTTTTATGGAAATGGAAAGGACAGCATACAACTATACTATATTATACTATAACAACTCTGTTTCTATGTATTCTCTATTTAGCTTCTCTCTCAATAGCCATCCTTAAGGTCTTCTGTGCAATAACCAATGCTATTAAATAATGTGCAATGGAACAAAAAAATTGAAGGAGTAATGTCGTTTGCCCTGGGAGGTGATAGGTGCTCCATCCCTGGAAACAGGGAGGAGGTCAGCTGGGATGGGGTTCTGGGCAATCTTTCTAGCTGAAGCTATTTCTTCTCATTCCAGTGGTGTTGGACTAAGTGGCCTTTAAAAAGTCCCTTTCAGCCCAAACCATTCTGTAATTCCATGAAAAATCGCAGCTGTTTCATTGTCACTGTTTCTTTTAAGCTTCTAGGCTGCAATTTGATCCTCATCAAACTATTCTCAAGATGTTTCATCCATATTATGCAAGCATAATTTAACCAGTAATGCTACACTGAATTTACCATGTCAGGATAGCACTACTGTTACGGAGTTCAAGCTGGAGATCATAAAGAAGTGTGGATTTTGGACACAGATTGGGGCGCAGACAGTGCTAAGCTAAACCAAGAGGACCATGGGGGCTGTACAACTTAGAAATTTCTGCTGTATTCCTCTTATGGTATCAAGTACTGTTTACTTCCCAAATACCAGTGGGGTTTAGGCAACACAACATGCAAATAGTGAAGGGGGGTGGGGGTGGGTAGGTGACATTTCCTCTGAAAAACAGGTTGTTTTTTTCTAACAGAGGGGACTGGTGTTTTAATTTCCCATGAAGGTCACCTAGGTTTCATCAATCTTGTTTTCCAGTGCGTTGCATTACCTCAGGCGACTCGATTGGTTTTAACAGAGTCAATGGCAGCAGAGTGACACTTTCTCAGGTGTTGCTGGTTGCTGTTCCCATACACCACGGACACATGCATATCTCCTGATAGTTTTTCCTCAAGTACACACCTCCTGCTTCTTCTAGGCTGCCATCCAGTCCTTTTGTAATGGCTCCTCATCTGTATATATTTTTACAAATAAAACATCCCCATATGCATTCTCCTTTACATTTTTCAGTTTCTGAACACCTCCTAGTAAACATAAATACTAAATATTAGCATTCAAAATAGTGTAACTAATATCACAACTGCATTGAGAGTGATTGTATAGGAACATTTACTGGTCAGAATTTGCATCAGTAAGCAGAAGATTGAACATGGAATTTTGTTGGGGGTTGTGTGTCTGTCCTTTTGTTCCTTCTCACCTATGGAGTTTTTTCCCATTAGTTGCTGGGAAAACCTCATGGTACTTGTTGTGTGTTTGAGAAACACAAAGAGTTTGGCTGGGGCCAGGGGGGACCTGCCGGGACATCCTGCAGTGCCAGACACCACCACAAAGCTGCTGATCCACCTCAGCCACCGGCCCAGGATCTCAGCTCAT